GTTTTTAGGTTGTTATTAAATAAGGTTGCAAAACTATCATTTAAATCGAACATCACAAATGATTTTTGCATGCCGCGGGTCGAACAGATTATCCACGCCCACATAGGTTTTGCGGGCCATATGCGTCACCGAAAAGTAACCTGTATCAGCCGTTGCTTCCCGGACCGACTTATAGACAAATTCTGCACAATAAAAGCGGTCATCTGTAAGCAGATCAAAGCTAAGATCAAAAGGAATGGCCATTTTATAATACCGTTTCACGATGTCATGCAGCTTACCCGTCTGGCCTTCGCTGATGTCCAGCCGCGCAATGCCCAGCCGCTCATTACTTACCGGACTAAAGAAAAAAGAAGCAGAGTCGCGCCGTAATTTGGAGTCGGGATTATCCTCTCCGCCGATGCTATGGTAAACGAATGGATACCCTTCTTCCATCATCACAATGCCACAGTGAGAATAGGTCCGGTCGTACCGGTTCATTTGCCGGAGCATATAAGAGGTAGCATCCGCCCCGGTACGCAACACAAGATCCCCGTTTTTTAAAAGAAGTATGGCCGAGTCTATCGCCCGGAAATTAACCGGGTTATGTTCCCGGCGTATTTCCGCAACGACTACCGACTTTCCATCACCGATACTACAGGCAGTTAAAAATAAAAACAGCATACAACCAATAAGTGACTGTATCGCTGCCGTTCTACATTGCAAGCTCATCTGCGGCAAAAATAAACGCTTCGCAACTATCATTCGGCGGTGCGTATTGATATTCCCTGTTAAAAACTTGCAGATATTTATTACTTTTAAATAACTAACCATTCCTGTCATGAAAAAATTAGCATTCGCCCTATTGATCTTAATAAGTGGAAGTACTGCTGCCGAGGCACAAAAGTTTACCCAACCCAATGTGGTAAAAGCAGTCGCTCAGGTCCGCAATCCTACCCTGTTTAAAGAAAAGGCTACCCAACTGACCAGCGCCCTGAATACCAATAACCTAATAAAATCACAGTCGCTGTTAGGCGACCTGATGGGCATGGTCATGTCTCGCGGAGACGAGCTGGTAAAGACCAAAGCGCCCAAAAGCGAATCGGATGCCCAATACAATATTGGCAGGCAGATGAAGGGCTTGCTGAATGATGTAGCCGGCAATAAGCAAGGTATTATCGACCTGGTACAAAAGGCAGTAGCTGCTTATTGATACAAACGCATTTTAAGAATCAACTCGTAGAAGACATAGCTCAGGCTATGTCTTTTTTAGGATCGGCCAAGGCCTGCAGCGCTTCCCCGACAATGAAAAAGCTGCCGGTTATCAGCACCGCATCTTCCGTTCTTGAATTGGCTATTGCCGTATGAACGGCCGCTT